GATAATTAGTAGGAGGACACGCGTTTCATCCCACTGGGAACTGCATGAATTTGCTTACGACGATCGTGTTCCTACACAGAATCAAACACAGTAACCACTGTTTCAAATACCAGAGCTCCCAGTTAAGGCAGGAGAGTCGTTTCTTGTACAACGGATATGATTTGAAAACTTCTGTTCATTTTCTAAATTTCCCGAATTGATCAGCCTTATTTTGGAATATGGGCTTCTTTAACAGATACCTTGACTTTATTAATATATGTGTAAAACTTGGGCACTGTGGTAGTAAGTAATTCCATATTAGTTTGTTTATTTGATATATCACACAGTGAAACAGTATTATTTACTGGATCCAGTAAATAATACTGTTTCACTGTGTGATATATCAAATAAACAAACTAATATGGAATTACCTTGACTTTAACCACGATTACGAACTGAAAGCTTCTTGTTTGGTAATATCGAGGCATCTGTTAAAGTAGCCCATACGACAAAATGAGACTAATCATTTAGGTCTGGAAACAGCAGCGAGATGATACAAATATCAATAAATACTGCTGTTATAATGTTTATTATTCGGCTAGACGCTTGAAAGATATGAGGAAACGATATTAAACTGTTGAACAGGATTTCCTTGATTGTCGTATCTACTATTAATAGCAGCAAGAAATCTACTGGTCAGCTGTGATATATGTGATCGTTTAAAAAATGGATACAATACACAGCTAAGTACTGCGAAACACTGATGCTGCATCGATCCAGATAGCTACAGCACGTGCTACGCATGTCAACTCATCGAATAATATTTTTTGACCTAGGGCTGGCTGGAGAAGAATTATGGGTGAACAGATCAAAACATGGAATCAATCTACTTAGTCTTTGATGGTTAGTATCACTCATGTAGGCAGATTCAGACTACCAAGCTGTTGTCTTTGAGACAGTTTTCAGGTCACTGAATGAAAATCTAAAATTTAGAGCGATAAGTTCCCCTAACGAATTTCGACAAGACAGTGATACTACAAACATTGAACAGACTACTCAAGAAATCCAGCGGAAATAGCGAGTTCTGAAAAATACTCAGTCACAGGTTTATAAACTACACAATCGTGACACACGTCCATATTGTCTAAATGGGAATGATGGTTTAAGTCAGAATCTCACTTGGAGTCAACAATTTATCCATCTATCCTGCGCGAGTTGACACAGTCAATCCGAATGTGATAAGCATTTGTCGGTACATGAACACATTATTTCGAACTCAGTCTCCTGAATAGGTCTTTTGTTCTCCCGGATGTGAGCTACAGTTACTTCGAGGGCTAAAAATACTACCCAGTTGCCGAGGGTGAAGTAGGAGTCTAGCACTGATTGATTGAAAGGTGAGTTGCTTACGCCTATCAGCCACGTGTCTACATGAATTTTCCTTTGATGATTAGATCTCAAAAATGTCATCTAAACCTTTAGGTAGTGTGTAAATCTTACTTTTAGGAGGACTGTGAAGACCTGATTCTACCAGAATTCTTTCATATGACTGTTGAAAGCAGACTGCTGATAGACTTGAATTAGCTCCATATCGATGACATATTTAAGACTACTGATAAGGTGAATTTAAGTGAAAAATTTACCACACATTATAACATGCTGTACCCTTCTCTTACTTTCACCAATTAAGGGAAGCATGAAAACATACTGCACATTCTTGACGTACTACTAACTGGATGAAAATAAAGATCACTTAGAAGAAGTACTGATATATGCAGACCTAATTTTCTGCATGTCTGTATTTCTTGCACCTCACTTATTGATTGCGACCTAATTTTCTCACGCTACTGATGACATTTGAAATCCCATTGGTTGTACACTTAATTTATTAATGACTTAGTGCCTCTCAAGGTCACTTTAAAAATATGTATACACAAGCGCTGTCAACCTTTTCTTGACTCTTTTGATAGAGTGAGAGCTGTCTTATCAACGCCCAGTCTTTAATTCTATGTTTGAGGCCTGACGGTGTTAGTATTTTTGTTGTGCGATTAGGACAGATTAGCCAGTGCATCAAGTTAGTAATTGCCCACATTCTACTATGTCTTAGTTCCGATCATAGCATGTATAGAAAGAATGAATTCACACACACTAGACACGCAAACAATAACAAACAGTCCGGCAACTTCATTCATTTAGCTGCACAGTCGCATATATATATATATATATTGCACGTGACATATATATCATAAAAAAGAAATCAATTAGGAATGTCACCCACACTACTGAAATATTCTGCAATAGAAATGACCAATCAAGATGTAACTAAGTTTTTTCAATAGAAGTTACGTAATGCGAGAAAACTGCTAGTAATGTCGGGGCGTTAGTGAGAAGAGCATAGAGACAAGTTTCAAAATATACGATTAAACAGATAAACAGAGTAAAACAAGGCTAAGAAAATGATGCTTACAGTTGCAACACCGAAAAATAAAAGACAAAAATGCTAATGATGCCAAGATATTCATAACAGTTGAGTTTGCAATTACGCCCTAGGTAGAAGTAGAGGCACAATTTCCTGCCGTATGCATATGAATGACTACAGCCTCAACAATGCCAAGAATGCGAAAGTACAACATTTGGGAAGGCTTCTTTCGACTTTACAAATAACTCTGAATGAATTCTCCTTGCTAATTGAATGATCAATACCAAAAATGTGCTCCATTATAGCACCTCGTATTAATCAACTACGGAATGTGTGACCAGGTGGAATAACTTTCTGTTATTCTTGAAGATAAGGCCACATTGAACGACATACACATCTCGTCCCGCAGAAGTAAGTGAATCAGTAGATACACATGTACGTCATCACATGAAATAGCTCATGTTTCGACTTATTGAGGAATAGTGGCTGTTAGGAGAAAACGCCCCAAAAATGATCTTTCAGTAACCGCATGATATTCTCCTCTTTAGAGTATCATCGAAAAATTCGCCTTTGAAAGCTACGTCAATCTGTATCCTTTTTGGTATACAGGTAGAATTTTCTTTGTTAGGTTTGGGCTTTTTATGTTCCTCTGCAAAGCGAGAGTGAAACACACTTCCAACAAGTATCTTTCTTAGAATACCAATCACTTCATTTACAGACTACAAAGAGTAGGTGCTTCGGATCCAAGCCACAGATATCATAAAGTTCCTTTAGTAGCCTAAAGATTCTCCACGTCACCATTTGTACTTAGCTTTCTTATAGACGTACTATTTAAGTGACTTTGGATACCCAAAGTGTTTGATGAAATGACACGCCACTTAGGTTGATACATTTCTGTAATATTAGGATAATGGAGAATACATCGTTTTGGTATGTCTATAACCACTTCTATGAGAATCTGGGGGCAGTTTTTGCAGCATATTCGAGATGTATACCCTATATGATTTGTTTTTATTACATATATATCGTAGATACACTTCTTTGTACATTAAGCACCACTTTCCACCTAGAAGAATCTGATTAGCTGTTTCAAAGTAGTCTGAATTTGCCTAACACTTGAGGACCTGACCATGCAGAGATGAAAGATTTCTTATAGATCTCTGTAGGATCCACAATATATCATCTTCGCAAGGAACCCAGAAACAGCACCAGCCAATGGCAGTAGACGAGGAGGCAAAAGCATGAGGTGTTATTCAGATTTAGAGCATTTAGGAAATCCACACTCATACTTGAATCTTGAGTGTTCAAAATGGGTATTGTTATCCCACAAATAGTAGTAATTCACATTTGTGGAAAATAACAAATCACTTAATCAGCATGCAGCACTCCACTTTAAGAGGAAATTCGCCTACAAATCATTAGAATCGACTGCTTGTAATTAATATGTACCATAGCTTCAAAGGTGGCATTTAAGCTGAAGTGACTCAATCCATTTTCTATGTTGTAATTAATTATCACTCTGTAGTTGAATATTTGTTTTGTCTTATTATGGATTGAATAGTTACGTATAGTCCGTTGTGACTGCACTCGCTTAAATTCATCGTTACTGGTATTACACTTACACCTTTTTGGTTTTAGGTTATATGTATCGCGGAATCACAACACTTGGGAGCATTGACAAACGTGAAGAACTAATAGGATTTATGTGTAAGCTGAGTCATATAAAGTTAGCATGGAAGAGTACAAATTTAGCTAATACTAAATATATTTTTCCTAAAATTTGCGATACACATTTAGAAACAGAAGCAGTTAATCATCCTTTAAACAGACATCGCCTACTAGAATATATTCATCTAGATAGATATTCGAATAATGTAAACCTGCATTAATTTCAAAGTAATAACCACTATCACATCTTCGTTAGACAGTTCACTTTATTATTTAGGAAGACGTTCTTTCCCTCTGCTGGAACAGCTATGTGCTTCAGAAAACCCTGGTGGAAAGAATCTTCCTGCAAAATCAAACGCTTAGGCTGTGACTTATTCCCCTCGAGCAATGACTTTAACAATATTCTCCCTATAGTTTATATGACGTATCTATATGCTTTTACCAACTTAAGCTCTATTCCCATGTGAAGATAAATCAAAACCAGAACTCCCCCATTTCCAGTGACATATGAGCTAAGTGGCTCTACCTACAGCATTACGGCAAATTCGACTTCTTAGACCTTGTAAATATGCACGACACATATATAAAGTCGTAAAAAAACAGTGATCAAATTTTAACTAAAACCAAATACTTGCTCTTAAATATTCAGCAGCATCTGTAGACTTTACTGTGGGAATCTAAACTCTGGTGAATTTGACACCCCATTCATTTAAAAAAAAATGATTTTATTGTTAGTAGCCTCTCCTACATTTATGATCACTGTACACCATAATAATCATTCTTTCTTTGCTATATTAAAAAGTAGCAGTTTTCTCGAAGTGTTAAACAGCCTTCACTCAGATATGATTCCCTAGAAATATATTCTTTGCCTTCTCCCTAAAGTGTTTCCCATATCTATCTATAGCAGATAGAAAGTACCCAAAAGCATGCATATTCCCTGAAAACTAAGTATTTCGGCCTGAGAGCAGGAAAAGACAGCGGAATCAGTGGAATACAATGTAGACAAATTACTGCATCTTCTTGAATCTCACACGTTCAAAAATTACATTTTAACGATGTCGAAATACTATTTAACGTGAAATAATTATTAGTAGCATTATTAAACAACAACAAGTGATACAAAAATACAGAAGCACCCCAACAATCCTGCTGAGCCAAAACACAGGTCAAAAATATTTCGGCTACAGAAAATAGTTGAACAAATACAACTGTTTAATACCCAAGAATCAACAAGCATACTCCAAACAAACTGAGATAAGAATTCTGCCTGCAAGAATCAGATGAATAAATCAATCGAGATTTCCAGGAAACAGACAAAGCGAATACAGTAATATAGAGTAGCTCTCGACCAATTGAAGTTACAAAGTAATGTTTAAGTTATAAAAGAGGGGAAAATGTTCAAGTAATGTTACAAAGGTCATGGGTAAATGAAAAATGTCAGTACTGTCAAACAGATTGCTCGGGAAGAATTTAAAATCATTCAATCTATATACACCACCCACAAATTAAGGTGGAGTTCCCATTCAAACATCATGAGTTGCCAACTGATTAATCTAATTACTGTTACTACGGTGATTTTCAAAAATTGAGAAAAAGCATTTTCTGGCTTTTTATAAGCGCGACATCTCATTTGAAATCAAGACGAAAAGAACTGTTGTACTAGAAGTTTGATAATTACACATTTGTCATATTATTAACATAAATGTTAATATTTTAATAAAAGCTGACGTCTTGTATGTGTATGAAGAGTCTCGGTAGACTTTCAGCAACAGTTATTAATTATGTGGATGATTTGACAGATTCCACTATCTTGTTTTCATCATCTTCGATTGCATCTTCAAGCAATTTACACTCACCTTTGTTCACCACTTCAGCCGGCACAATATCACCTGCACGAGCATGTCTCATAAAGTAATACAAACTCCTAAAATGTAAATGAGTGGAAAAAAGTAGCAAGTACATTTTTGTAAATCATCTATAAGTGAATAAAATATTTTTGACATTATTACTATTCCTTCGGGTTCCAAGTGGAACCTAGGACTTTAACAACACATCTCCACTTTGTCCTGTTCGTTGTTGTCATATTCAGCTAGCCCCATGAATGCCCATAAGCGTTCGTCTTCTTCTCACGCGATCTCCTTCATGTCACTCTCGGTCGAAGAACTTGCTCCCCATCCAAGGACCTGACTCGCGATGTCATCTGACAGTCTCCACAGAGTGTGCTCAATCCACCTCTATTTCTTTCGACAAATTTCTTGAACGATAGGTTAGTGGTTGGTCCATTTCGGGACTTTCTCGTTGCCAATTCTTTCAGGCCACCTGATCTTCTGTATAGACCGAAGTCAACTATTGATAAAAGTCTGCAGTTGGCTGTTAGAAATGGTTTCTGTGACGCGCCAACTCTCTCACTCACAAAGAAGAAATAACTGATGGTGAAAAAGTGAATTTTTTTCTTTGTGCTGAGTGCAGAAGATTTCTAAATCGATGTCAGAGAGATGAATGTCTGCTTAGCCTTTCCGATTCTGTACTATGTATCTGTAAATGAATGCCTGCTCCCTAGATAAGTGAAAGAAGCGACTTCCTTCAAATTTCTTCAGTTCACAGTGATTAGTTCTTGTTGTTGTTGATTTGTCATCTCCATTAAATTTGTTTTCTCTACGTTGACTTAAAGTTCAATTGCTGCTGCATCTGCTAACAACTTGTTGGTTTCGCCTGCAAGTCTTCGAGTTTGTGTGACAACATACATAAGTCGTCCGCAAAGTCTGGATTTCCTACAGTCTTCTTATCGGTCCAACATATTCCTGTCTTCTAACTCCGCGCGACCTACCACATCATCTAGTTCACCATAATCAATAATATCATCGGTGGGTAGTAGTGATTTTAATTATATGGTAGACGTATTTTGCCTGCATCTGTGTTCGAATTGCAAATAAGTAGTTCCGTTATCAATTCTCTTATCTCCTGCCAATACAAACTAATACACAATTTCACACTACCAAGTCGCACAAATATATTAATCTCATTATTCCCCCCGAGATGATGGAAGACATGACAAATAATAAATAGATATACAATAGCAACAATATTCTGGGAAAAACTTACTTCTCTGACTGTTGTTTAGGGAAAACAGCACGTTCGACTGCACCACAAGGCAAACAGATATCATGCATGATACGACTACGTTTAGACAAGTTGTAAGAAACTATTCGAGGCAATTCGTGTGGCTCAGGATTAACAACTGGAATCTGGTGTCTTCGCCAATCTCCTCGAGAAATAATTAAGTAAGAAACTAATTCAGTACATGGTTCGCTTTTAAACTGAAAATTAAAAGAGAAGATCAGAAAATTCTGGGTGGGTGTAAGAGCTAACAGTTAAAAAGCAAGATTACTGTATAACTACAGGCAACTGAAACATTTCATGAGGTAATCTCCCAAAGTCTATTGCATTTCACCAATCTACATATAACCACTTGTCATCGACCGTCTGCTATAAACAATGTACTTTTCAAAGGCATTAAGAAACATTTGACACGTTTCTAGATAAACATCATTTTTTTGAATAACGGGGAAATAGGGGATCGACACTGTTTCCACCCTAACGTATGTGTTGACTTTAGACTATAAAATGACCGAAGATAATTGATGTATCGTAATTCAAAACACATTCCGATAAAGGACGATTTTACTTGACTTTCTTTTTACCCAGTGGTTGAGACCTACTTAACACACTTAACTTTTAAAACCTCTCAATACATTACCACCGGGATATCCATAATGCAACTGAAAGACTGATACATGAATTAATGCACAAATGTGCAACAGTCCGAACTGCCATGTTTCAAAAAAAAAGGACACAGAAATACAGGTGCATAAATGTAGTGAAAACATTGATGACTTTAATGCTAAATATTCAACAAATGAGGAAAATAATGAGCTATCACGATAATTCGAGATACTTAGCACCAAGTATACCATCTGTTACACATTATGCTAATATGAAATTCTGTGTTTGAAAATCAAGTGATTAAATCAATGTGCCAAAATTTCAATACACAAAAAAGACAATGACGAAAATGTTTCTCTACTCAACACATGTTAAATTCGCTTACTCGTGTAAGACCAAAGCTATAATACTGTACTGTAAGATTACAAACGGAATTCTTTTTCGGACAGGTTTGTGCATGGGGACACTACAAAAGAAATCAATAGTTTGGTTGTTTTAAATTTGTACTTCTTTGAGATAGTTTACAAAATAAACATTATTAATCGTGCAAAAGAGAGAGTTTCACGCGTGACTATCGATAAAACATACCTTCGTTTGCGGAAGGATATTTAAGTAACAGTATTAGAAATAATACTTAAAAACCTAGATAAAGAATATTGAGAAAAAAAAAGTAGGTCAGTAGGGCGACTTTGCAACATTTAGGACGTAGCATTCAAACAATCAACCTTGGGCGATTGAAATGAAATGGAAATCTGGGTGACGGTGAAAGCTATAGCAGGGTGCCTTTGGGCATAGTATAGCGGACGCCACAATAGATATTCCTGCTGCGTAAGAAAGTCGACAAAAAACCTCCAAAGCAGCGAAAAGTAATATATGATGATTACAGTATTCTTCTAAGCGTGTAACACAAAATCATACAAGACCTGGAGAAATTGAAACTGTAACTGATCACCTCTCTGTACTGCCTATTCAGGTGGGTTGAAACGAAAACGCAGCAAGTTTTTTATACTACAACTCATATATAATTACTCGAAAATGTTGAGTCTACCCACCATAGTTGTTTCTATCTGTCTGTCTATACAGCGTGAAACTTCGGTGCACATTTTTGAGTAAACAAAAAGATTTCAGTAAGGATACAAATTCTCATTCAGACACTTTAAAGACAAGAGGATTGAGCCAAAAAATAATTACTTTTCAATTAGATCCTCATCTCTGGCTCTACTCTAATGTATATATATATATACACTAGGGTAGTATATAAGTGAGCTACAACGTATAAGTGAGCTACAGTAGAATACAGTCTTTGAAAACAGTGTTGCTACACATTAAAATGCCACATAATCAGGAATGAGTACATCTTGATCTGCTTAGAATGACAATGAATGTAGCGCGGGAAGAATACACTACGTCATAAATACTTTTAAATTGACAGCTTATAAATAACTGATGCAAAACACCTTTAATTGAATATAGTTATATTCCGTATTGATTTAAGACTAAAATAAAGGATTCGGCTAAGTAGACATACATACATTCAGGTCAGCATTAATGAAACAGATGCATAAATTTTCTTTGATAATATTAAATGAGTAACTGGCTGAGTTGCAATATAGAACTCTGCACAGAAGTACAGAAGTCAAAGTTGCCACAATCTATCTAGCATCGAGAAGTAGAGAAAAGAAAGGGAAAATAGAGATTCATAAGAATCACAATAAGCAGATATGTACGGGATAAAGAACAGTAAGATGGAAAGAGAGTTTTGTGTGTAAACGAGAGACCACAAAGAGTGAATACATCTGAGCCAATGAGAAAGAATCTGAGCTATATAACACCAACAGTTTCCAACCATTGGTTTATAGCCTTCTGATGACCCCAAGCAATAAATGACGAATACAATCATAGTCAGGCCAAACAACACTCAAGGATATTACAAAAGTATAAACCACATTTGACCAGGTGAATTTTCAGCATCAAAATTCATTTGACTACAAAACTAACTAACTAAATGAAGAAAAACTGTTATCTCTTTAGCAATACATGAATGATTTTTAATGTTTAGTTAACAAAATTATCTTAAATAACAAAGACTGACAAGTAACTATACAAGTCATGCCTTAATATAGGAAGAAAATTCCGAATAGATAAAGAGATTCAGAAAGTCAAGTACCAAAATGGAGCACTTACAGGACTAAATATACGAACATCAGGTCCACCATTCGTGAGCTAGAAAAAGTTTATAAAATATTCATGATCACAGGTCAGTACAAAGGAGGAAAACAACACAGCTATAATGTATAGTGATTAGTGATAAACTGCACTGAAATCAGTAGACATGACAATAATAAACTATTTAACTGGATATGCGACAATTGTAAATACTTTCCTATAACTACACACACACTTCGCTAGGATTTTAAGCACTTATGATAACATATGGCACGAAAGGTTAACTAAATACCTCTGAGGCAATGTGAACTTGAATTGTCGATTACTGGAGTCTCAAGGGAGCTGGATTTACATTCAGCAGACAACAACTTTAATCATTGATATCATCATCTGAAAACCTCTTTAATAAAAAATAATATTGAAAAGCATTTTTTCGACTTCAGATGCAACGGAAAGTTAGTAGCTGACAAATGCTGAGTGTTTGATAAGCTTGTTTCTAGCCTTAAATAAAAATGAAATGTACGTGGTCAAACAAAACGCATATAATTGATATGATCACGAATAACCCAAAACTCAAACCTATCCACACCAAATGTTAAGAAGTATTAAAACCACTTTCAAATTCCATATCATATATTCGACAGTTACTAGTAGATTATTGTCTTAAGTACTTGACTTTCGGTCAGTGGGTTCTGGGTTGGAATTATATCCCACATACTCTAGCCTGAGTGACTTGGTACTACCACCAGGGCTCACGAAAGAACTGTGGCTAGTATGCTGATATATGAAAAATATCTGATCTAGGTAATTGAAGCACAGTTAGAGGGATTCACTTCCATTTGTTCTGCTAGAATATTTACACAATTCAAATTCGATAGAATTTCATATTTCTTAATTTCAATAATATACTTTGAATACAAGTGTAAAACTTGGGCACTGTGGTAGTATGTAATTCCATATTAATTTGTTTATTAGATATATCACACAGTGAAACAGTATGATTTACTGGATGACATAGTTTCGAACACAATTTATTATTCATAATCATATATATATATATATATATATATATATATCAATTATAATCACACAACTTCGAAACTTGAGTTTTATAGTTTTCTTTGTTCTCTCCTATTTATCGTGGGAGGGTAGTAGAATTTTCCAGATGTCTCGGTTGACATGTGTTAAATCCTTCCTATTACACGTCTTTACAGTTGATTCGATAAACAAAGCTTCCGTTATCAATCTCTTCCTCCATCCTGTTACACTAGATTTTAAAACTGCCATCTTATCCCATCATCCTATTGTATGTTTGTGTGTAATTGCGTGTGGTGTAGTTTATCTCATTGGGGTCTACTAATCTAGATTTTGGTAGGTTTTTATACTTCATTAGTCTGACTGTCCCTGTTCTACTACCCTCACCTATGTACTTAATCTGACAGTCATTACAGCAGGGTATTAGACAAACTAAATTGTTTTGTTTAATTGGCTCCACAGGATCCTTTAAACTACAAAGCTTATTTCTAATTGAGTTTGTAGGTTTCAATACCACTTTTATTCCCGTATTGTTAAGAATTCTCCGTAGGGTTTCCGAGGTATGGAAGCACTATTGATGATTTTTACTCCCTATTGTTGTTGTCATTATCCCGTGCATGTTTGACATTCATGTCATTATTATTATTATTGTTATTATTATCACTATCACCACTACTAATATGAATTTTATTTTTACATTTGCCTACAAACTTCCTGATTAATTTGATAACAGAAGCTTTGTTTATCGAATCAACTGTAAAGACGTGTAATAGGAAGGATTTAACACATGTCAACCGAGACATCTGGAAAATTCTACTACCCTCCCACGATAAATAGGAGAGAACAAAGAAAACTATAAAACTCAAGTTTCGAAGTTGTGTGATTATAATTGATATATATATATATATATGATTATGAATAATAAATTGTGTTCGAAACTATGTCATCCAGTAAATCATACTGTTTCACTGTGTGATATATCTAATAAACAAATTAATTTAGAATATACTTTGAAGTTGAGACGAAAGAATTTAAGAGTCAAGTGTAACTGTTTGATATTCTCCAAGCTATCACCACCACGTTTGTTGACATATTCAGTACTTATTTCACTGGTAGAATAAAATAAAGTGTAACAGATGTCGCCTGTATACACTCCTAAAACATAAAACAATGAAACACTAGCTAGTGTTTAAATGCATGAAAATTTCTAGTGAAATAAACTAATTCAACTGAAAAAATCAACTGACCAAATATTCTCTTGCTTCATTTATTGCTTTAAAACCAGACTTTGTTCCTTGTTCAATTAAGACGAGAAAATCTGTTGTTTTCTCCCACAAAGAAGAAACAGCACGGTGACGAGCAGATGCACACGGTAGTTCAATCAGTGTATTAGCGCTGACCACTAAATTATACTGATTCTGTTTTAACGAAAAATAAACAATTGCAGAAAATTTATTTCACAGCAGATAGTGATGTAGGACAAATCTCAACTTGTCAACAGACAGAAAATAAGTGAGATAAGGAAACTCAAATAAAATAATCACAATGACAGAATAAATGAAACGAGACATAGGTGTGGATTCAGTTGAGTCATACAAATAAAACTCATTTACCATAAAATTTCTTGCTGACCTACAACTCCCTACGGTTCCAAAAGCTCCTTTAGACTTTACTGTTTCTCATTCGACCCCTTGTTCCTCTAAAAATATTCTTATATGACTACAAGTCCATATCCTCTGTCAGGCAGTCCCATTCACTAACTTCACACGACACGTTCCTAAAATAAGTGAGAGGTCAGATTCAGACATTTGGTGCTAATTATCATTTTAGGGTCAAAATAGAAGAGTTGGAAAACCCTGATTTCAGAACAATGGTAAACTTCAGGTGCAGAAATCGAAAAGAACAAATAACCTGTAAGCCTGTTTTAGTTATCATGAACTGTGTGAACATTGTACTTTATGAGAACAACTTTGCAAGTGAGACTAAGCTTTTTCCAGAAGAGGATGTGAGCCATTTGCGTGTTCGGACATCTCTGCCTTTGTAGAATTGCTTGTAATCTATGATATCACCGTGTTGATATTTCTGAATCTAACAGTGCATGATTGAGCAGAGTAGAGATTACTAGTCAGTCTGTGATTTTGTGCTCGGACATGAAGGATATTTGTGCTGAGTTGGCACATACCTATGCATCATTAGTCCCTGGGTAGATGTTGAGAGATCATACAACTCAGTAGCTCTAGGTGTTATGTGGTATTGTGGTGAGAGCAAGCTGCTAGCCGATTGGTAGACATTGATCTACGCTGATTGGTAGAAATTAATCTAGGCTGATTCAACGACCGATCACAGCTGACCTAGACGTGGACAAATATGATTCGCAGACAAGTGGCTCGCATTTCCGAGAAATATCGAAAACGAGAAAGCAGAAGACTGCGTTTGTTTACAAACAACCAGTCAGAAGACCGCCTTCTTTCTGCGGGCAGAAGCCTATTAATGTACGTAAAAAACATATAAATACCTGTTGATTTTCGTAATAAAACTGATCTGTTGCCTGGCCCTTGTCTTCTGTTGTTACAGTATGGTCAGGAAAATCCATCAGTTTCTTTCGACCATTCATCAAATTAATATGAAGGAGCCAACACTTCTTTGAATTTACTTGATGATTACGCTCGTCTGTTTAAAGTTTGTTATTCACCTTTCCTTATAATGGCTATTTATTTCGTGTGGCTCATTTTTTTCCGTCAGTAGTGTATCAAGTTTATGTTAAAAAGTTATTAAAGTATAAAACATTTGATTTGCGTAGACCATAGTCAGAACTTTGACAGCATATTTATACGCATTAAACAGTTCAAAGACTGTTGAGAAATGAAGGATATTGGGAAAAAACGCTGTCGCTCGGTTAGGGAGCAGAATGGTTGACGAACAGGAAAATATTTCAATGAAACAGGCGGGAAATATCTGAGACTACCGCAATCTTGTTTTATTTCCCCATCATAAAGTGCTAACACGAAATATCACACATACCAAAACACTTAAGTGAAAACAGCATACTATCAATGTACGCTACAGTTCACTAAAATACTCGACGTTCAAACAATAACTGACATAATAATTCCATATAAGGTGAGTAATTATAACATCTAAGAAATTGTGTTGTATCATAGGACTCTATAAAAATACTACCGTCTTGAAAACATCTACTTAGACACAAACATTTAGCAACAATACTTAGATAATTTGAGTTTTCAGAGAATGGAACAACACTATGGTCCGGTTAAATTCAGCTTCCTACTAAAAGAAAACAGATATCACCTAACAACTCTGGTCGACAAGATAAAAAGCCGAAAAGCCAAAAGTATGTAAACATAGAAAAGTGGGTTCACTTAAACATTTCATATTCCATAAAGTGACAACCGACAGAGAAGAACTCAAATTGTAAAGAAACCGCACAGAAGTTTAAAAATTACAATCAGAATACAATCATATTCGAGTCAACATATAAGTTTACATTGTCTCACGAACAGGCGATACACAAGGAATCATAGAAATGGGTTACAACATGCATTTAGCCAGCAGACGGCGGGTTACATCTGCATCCATGTAATCCAAGCTACATACGTTACATTTCATCCTATCTTCTATCCGAGCAAACTCTTATTTGTTTATCTCCAACACACGTCTATTTTCACGCCAACTTTAACAAGTATACGAAAAATACTAATGAAACACCGAAGATACGTATATGTCATATAGGTTGTGGTTGTGTTATGCGTTACGAATTTCCGAAGACTGGACTTCTTTTATGCTACCTATCGTGTTATAAAGCCAATCTAGCTCAACCTCAGAAACCCTCAAAGATTGTTTCAACATAGCGTATGTGCAATTCATCTGGACGTCTGCATACTTACAGAATATAAATCATACCGAAATGATTTACATTTCTTAAACTTCACGTGCTATGTTTGTTTGTGATTACATACAAGAGACGTGCATACACAATCTTAGTGCAGTACTTTCAACAACTTCATGCATCAGTTCACGAAGTACGTACAATGTGCGATTATCTGGCAACCGGTGGCATCGATTTCACATCAAGTGTTAGGGTCGAGACTTCACCACTTGCCCATTTACAGTCACCTATGTGCTACCAGGCTGCTAAGTTTATTCAAGTGAAAAGTGACTGGAGAGAGAAACGATGTCAAATCGTTAAGTCTGAAAACGCATCGACAGATTGCAGTCTTGATGCAAGTGAGATGAGACCTACGAGTAACCAAGTATCGACGATAAATATCGTAGTGTTAGGTGGGAATGGAATGTATGAGTTCGACGTTTATGTTGAGATGAGTGTCGGTTAAGTGGCTAATAAGGAGTAGGTAGTCACACATCAGATAACGACGACCGTCTTCTACAACTCTACGTAGGTGACAACCTATTTCTAGGCAGTACAAACTTTTAGCATAACCAGCACCATTTCACTTCCAGGGGTAGTGTCTCTGCTGCTCAAAGGTAGACTGAGACAGTCATGACATCAGATGACAATGCTGATACTGCATACAAATGGTCTTTTCTCCCTACTGTTCTTATCTGTCTGTTAGTTTTATTTCTCGGGTAATTCTAATATTCTCTTATAGTCATCAAACAAATCTCATGTCTCCGATTCATCTGCTATCTCGTTATCAGGCTCGGCTATGTCTATATAAACCAATATATAGTCGCGAAACAGTAAAACAACATTCCTGAAATCACTATGCAGCGACCTTTGCCAAACACTACCGTGAAACTGTAAAACTCTCACAAAGTATGATTAATATCAACGAAAATTTGTATGAGTATCCACTATTTCAAGTTGTGAAGAATGAAAAATGAGGATAGTTCGGTAAATGCAGCATAATGCAGTGAAAATTGAAACATAGTGAGTGTATTTGCTTTACAGTGCTGGCGTCTATCTCTACGACAGACCGTATATCACACCGACCTTCGGCAGAGTAAGAGTGCATAATGATTTATGTTTGCTTATTTCCTGTTATCATTGAAGCACCACTACACTAAGGTTCAATCTAAACTGCGACCAGATTCCAAAAGGAATAAGAAATTTCTACCTAGTTTCCTTAACAATCGCTTATTGCAAAATGATTTGCCTGTATGCATCATTGAATTCGTGTTGGTGCAAACCAAGTAAGGTGACTATTCTCCCTACACTGAAACCTAGTGGCCGTTGAAATGAAATTGAAAATCATTTACAAGATGGTCTCAATATGCCTTCCAGATTCACGTAGACTTTATCACCGACTAGCTTATATCATTGTATCTATGCGTCCCGCTATTCGTAAGAAACTTCAGAGATTATGGTATAACCTCGGTTTAGGAAATAGTAGGGAATATTTGCAGCCAAAGTGGACGATCTTGATGCGGTTGTGGTCTCTAAGCTGTGGTTGCGGACATCTTCAGAGTAAACTTCAATACGAAGTGAACTTGTTTGGGTTCTCCACAAGTGACACGTTTGTATCTCTTGACAAATTTTGTTGTGATTGGTTATTAATTTGCATTACTCTTTAAATATTATGTATTTATAGCTGCAGAGCCACAGAAAGAAGTCATTGAAAAGAATGTTCTTCGGTGAGTCTTCTGTTGGTCTAAATGTCTAGACCGGAGTTTTGGCTATAATTTCCATTCGTAGTGATTGTTGTTATTGACTTGGAATTCGACTTCTTTCGTAATATGGTTTATTCTTTATTAGTTGGTAAATCTGATCTATAATAATGTGTCTCTTAATCGCTGATTCGTTTCAGTACCAGGCTTCTAGGAATTTCCTGACATTTTCAGTGTTTCGATTGTCTGAAATTTCTGTCTTTTCCCACTCAAGTAGGTGTCAATTGCCGTCTACAAGCATTGATACAGAGGAAAAAGTCTTCTAACAACTAGTTTAAAGATGAATAAAACTACCAGCAAAAAACCATCCATCTCATACAAAGAATTACTCTGAAATAAGGGCTCGAATACTGAAAGCTTTCAGCAAAGATGTCGCACACAAACCAACAAAATCACTTCGGTCAACAATACGCCGACCAAACACCCAACAGTAAAAGAAGACAAAGACAACACAAACACCATCTAAAAAATGCATGCATTGTGACGAGCACTATATTGGTCAAAATGGGCGATCCCTTTTACTCGGCGTCCAGGAACATAAACTCAAAGGCTGTAGACTGTTCTACTCTAAAATGCGTCTTCTTAAATTCTTTTAATTTACACACATCCTAGAAGTAAATCAACTTGAGATTAAACAAAATCCTACTGTTAACCCAAATGGTAATTGACGAAGACTTTACTATACGAGTGTGAAATTAGAGGCGAACGACTGAACATATAGAAAAAATATAGAATTATATAACGCAACATGAAATGCTAGCCACACTTAGTTCATGTATATATATATATATATATATATATATATATATAACTGCACTTTTGTTATTCACGTGTCTAACGTTAAACATTTTCACCACTAGTTACATGGCTTTTTCGAGTTTCCAGTTTTTATTTTTACGGTTTTTAATTACGTCACAGATCTGCATTAGTTACAGATCTACTGAAAGCAAGGGAGTACTGGACAGCCGTTACATCCCAGTTTCTTTTTCACGCTAACAGGTGGAGTAATAGCTACTACAGGATCTTGAATAAGTCAGGAAAGATTAGGATTTAAACTAAATTACGCTCGCCTACTTATAAGAACATTTGAGTTGATTAATTTAAATCCTACACATGCATCTCTCGGTGTCAAATAAATTCAATACAGCATAAAATTAATTACTTTTCTACCAGGCATGAAACGGCGATGATAAACTCCAGGAAAGATATTTTCGGAAGGTTGTACAGTTCCCTGTTTACGGAACATGAACTCAGAGAGTCGGGTCATGTGTAAGGATGGTTCTACCAGATAGTGTTCACGTACGCAGCCTACTGGCCAGACAGTATTTGTAGCCCTAAATGTTTAAAGTACAACAAACACAAAAAATGAACTGAATAAGTTTATTAGTAATAAAACATATAAAAAAATTTTTAAAAAGTCACGGAGACCAGATAGAACTGCAAATAGTTGGCTGCTTAGATAAATGTGTGCTACGTAATCAGAAGGCTCAGCTGAAATGACTAAGGCACAAGTACTCGCTCAGCACATTCCGGATATTCTTATCACGTATTTACTTATCAGTATAATCTATGTGGAGCATGAAGGTAGGATGAAATCAGAACAAATTCGTGAGGATATTAGATTTACAAATATATGGAAGATAAATCAATGTCTCCATACAAATTTTAGTACTATGATAAAATGGAAATTGGCGTAATGGGTTCTGCAGATGAAAACAATCTACTTTCAAATATGTAACGGAGAGCCTAGTTGTTAGTGAAAAACAAAGCACGTAGTTCAGCGAAGAGTCTCTTTTCGGCAAATTCATTCACTTAGCTCTACAATCGCAATCATATATGATTATTTATGTATTTGTGTGTACATTAGCTTTGTCAGATAAGAATAAAAGTTAGTTAGGGTTGTTGTTTACGTCATAAAAATATTTCAAGAAAAATGTGATGAATAATCAAATCGTGTGTTTTCCAGTCGTCCTTTTGTATGCAGAAGATGGAAAAGGCATCGGTGACAACTATTTAGACTTATCAGGGAAACAGGTGGTAAAAGGCAAACGATAAGTGAAACAATCTCTGAGAAAAATGGCACCATAATTAACTCCCAGAACAGACGACTAGGACGTTAGAAAGAACACTGTGAGGAGCAATTCAGCTGGCCTACAGCCACGCTCAACTTACCGAACATCTAACACCTACCTGAATGGGATATTGACACAGGTCCTTCGTTCCTAACTGAGGTTACTAAGGCTGTCACTAGTCTGAAACGAGGCAAAAATATGGGACCCGATAGAATGACTCCAGAGGTGTTTAAGGACGGTGGAGACAATTTACAGTTTGCATTGACTGAGGTACTAGGAAGCCTCTGGGAATCAGAGATAGTCCATTTGGACTCGTGTAAGTCATCCCGACCGAAAGCTGTTACCTTGACGTGGTGGTTGGGCTTGAACACCGCAATGACCCAACAAGCTATACTGGCTGAGACTTATGTCGCTTGAGGTCCTACCATGCCAGAAAGGTTGTTTGGATAGCGGTTAGACAAAAAGCAGTTACCCGATCCAATGCTGTGACTCAAACAAAATCACAAAATATCATGCCGGATCGGTCGGGGTCCGGATTAGCAATGACCGCGCTTCCTGCTGCCGTGTCACAGGGCAGAAGTGATAAATATGCTACTGAGACACACCAAATAAAAAAGAACAAACAAAAACAGGCCGTGTGTGACCGGCCTCAAGTAGTTGTCTCCTGGGCTCTGCGGTCAGGCAACCAACTTCCATGGTGTGGGCAGCTGGGAAGCAACAATCGCCCTCACAATCCGAAATGCATGCGAAACCTCTCTAATCCTCACTCATCTTTGTCTTCATCTTCATCTCTATTATCTTGCCTTCCTTCTACTGATGCAACTCCTCTACTTGATGGCTCTTCACTTTCTCTTCACTCTGTGTCCACTAAAAACGACGGAAGCCAAGAAACCACTACCGATAGTCTCCTAAAGCCACGACACCAATTTCATATAGGAGCATTTAATGTTAGGACACTTTGCCAAATAGGACAACAAGCATTACTAGCCAAGACTCTGGAATCCCGAGCCATTGATGTATGTTGTGTTTCAGAAACACCCAAATGTGGTTATTCACCTAACCCCACCTGGCTAACAGGATGAATCTGCAAAATTCACCTTGAGGGTGTCAGGAGATGCCACAGCTAGTTCACGAGGATTAGCTGGTGTAGGGATAGCTTTGAGTACTAGGGCAGAAAAGACATTACTTGACTGGATCCCGGTAGATAGCCGAATGTGTGCTGTCCGTCTGAACGGGTCAGTGAAAAGGAGAAAGGACTGCACTACTCGCCGATGCCTTTTCGTAATCTCCGCCTACGCCCCCACTGACTGCAGTTCGGATGAAACGAAGGATGAGTTCTACCAAAAGCTGTCTAGTTTGCTGCGAAAGGCTATACGCTCAGATATAGTCGTTCTAGCTGGTGACTTTAATGCTCAAGTAGGGGAATTGTGTCAATCTCAGAAGGATGTCGGTGGCACATACGGAGTTCCGTGCCAGTGAACCGACAACGGTGACCGTCTCCTACAGTTCTGTTCAGATAATCATTTGTTTCTGGTAAGCACTAACTTCAAACACAAGGAGAGACACTGTTTGACCAGGCGACCCCCATCATCAAATCAACGCTGGACACAAATAGACCACATAGCAATAAGCTATCGTTGGCGTGGGTCGGTAGGGGATTGTCGCTCCTTCTGGAACACGTGTGAAGATACCGATCACGCACTAGTCCGCGCTCGAGTGTGCTTACGACTGAACGGACGTAGGAAACAGCTGGCGGTAAACCCATCACGTCCCCAGCTCGATCAGGAAACTAAGTCCCTATTTGAGGAAGAACTAGCTAAACACATATCTGAGTTCGACAGCTGTGCTCACCCCGAAGAAGCCTGGAGGAATATTCAGTCAGCCATAGATACAGCTGTGAAAGCTGTGAATAAGGTAAATCCAAAGGTGAGTAAAAACCACTGGATTTCGACTGCCTCATCCGAACTAATAGATGCTAGAAGACTTATTCCGGCGAGCTCCGAATTCAATGAGGAGCGAAAGCTGCACAAAAGGAAACTTACGAAAAGTCTCCGCAAGGACCGTGAACAGTGGTGGGTGACAAAGGCGAAAGAGATGGAAAAAGCATCGGCGATAGGCAACACTAGACAACTCCTTAGACTCATCAGGGAAACGTGTGGGAGAAGGCAAATCATGAGTGAGACTGTTTCTGAGAAAAATGGCTCCTTTATTAGCTCTCAGGATAGACACCTTGAACGCTGGAAAGAACACTTTGAGGAGCAATATAACTTGCCTACAGCCACACTGAACCTCCCCGCCCTCCAGCACACACCCGAATGGGATATAGACACTGGCCCGCCGTCTGTAAGTGAGGTTACAAAAGCTATCTGTAATTCGAAACGAGGCAAAGCAGCAGGACACGACGGAATTATTCCGGAGGTGTTTAAATATGGGGGTGACATAGTAGTATGTAGTTTAGCTAAGGTACTAGGTAACGTCTGGGAATCAGAGACGGTTCCATCAGACTGGGGTAAGTCACTTATTATACCAATATTCAAGAAGGGAGACAAGTCCTCATGTGATAATCATAGGGGGATCAGCCTGACGAACATAGTCTCTAAAATCCTAGGCTCAGTAATCATGCACAGACTAAGCAGAACTCGGGAGGAACAAACGAGGGAAAATCAAGCAGGCTTTAGGCCAGGTAGAGGGTGCATAGATCATATCTTCACTCTCCGACAGAACCTAGAACAAAGACACACTTTTAGGCTAATGGAAGTATCCTTAACTGAACTTAACGACTTAGGAATCGACTTGTTACCAGGGAATAGTCTTATCGACTTAGAATATGCAGACGACATAGTCCTGTTAGGGGAGGACGGTGACAAAATGCAGAGTCTTCTGAACACCTTGAGCAGCAATCTTCGTAGGTTTGGCATGCGATTCGCTCCCGCCAAATGTAAGATGATGAGGCTGCAGGACTGGACTAAATTGACTCCTAGCTTAGTGATAGGGAGTGAAGTGATAGAACATGCTGACCACTTCACCTATTGATCACCGACGAAATCTCAGTACGGATACAGAATGCTCGTTTTGCATATGCCATTTTACGGTGTCTCTAGCGTAAACGTGATATCCGGCTGGCTGTCGACCAAGGGGCGTGTGTACTGCTCAGCAGTTCGTTCTGTCCTCTTTTATAGTTGCGAGACATGGACATTGAGAGTGGAAGACATGAAAAACCTGGCTAGCTGTCTTTGATCATGAGTGCCTGCCTTCTATCTCCCATGTGAAGTGGTATAATAGGATGAGCAATGTTGAGGTTAGGCGTCGAGTGTTAGGTAAGGAGGGGAAATCAATAGACGAGGCTGTGAAGCTAAATAGATTTATATGGTTAGGACATGTGTTACGCATACCTAGCCATCGCCTTCCTCGACGGGCAATGTTAGTTGGCATATGGTCAGGTTGGAAAAGTGCTAGCGGCGGTCAGACCAAAACATGGCTTCATCAGTCAATGAAATCCACAACAGTTAGGTTAAACCAAGTAGGAAGGTGTAGACTTGCTGGTTGGGGTCCTCGGGACTTAAAAACCAATGGCTGGAGACAGCCAGTTATATGGTTCAAAATCGTTCTCAGTGGCACAGGTGCATCCACTCCTTGTGACTTATAATATCCAATATTGTTCTTCGTTATTACTATTCCTTTTGTCTTATATCCCTGTTTACTATCTATTTTGTATTTCTTATACTTTCTTCTCTTGCTTTGTGTGCTACATGTATTGTGGTGACTTGAACTTCTGCACATCAGTGCAAAGTCCTATGTTGAAAACAGACAGACTAATTGTATCTCCCTGGAATTTCAGATTTGTAATTAGTTGTTTCTTCCGCATATCTAGTTTTCGTGGAGTATTGGTCTTTCTCTTTAGATGTTTGTCAATGAAGGAGGCTGGATATTCATTGTTGATCAGTGCTTTTGAAGGATTCCAATTCCTTACTCAATATATTTTCGGTGCATTTACGGTGGATTCTCGTCGCAAGAAAACTGATGAGATTTCTCTTTTCGCTTATTGGGACAAAACTGTGAAAGTTTATCTAGCTATCCATTTCATTTTGGTCTACGATAGATTGGCCTTTGTAAATTTCCACTTGTTCTTCTTGAAAGGCGGACATCTAGGAAGAAGACTGACTGTCTTCGGATTCCGCTACACTTTTAAATTCGACTGATCGATGAGCATGGTTAAAGATGCCCAGGATTCTGTTAGCTCAGTATTTTTATCGATGATCATAAAGATATCACTCATGTACCGCTTGTATACTTTGGACCGATTGATTGTTGTGATTGGAGGATACTGAACTCAAAGTAATTTATGAAGCAATCAGCGAGTAGTGGACCAGGTAGAGAAGCCAATGATACTTCCTCTTTCTGTCGGTATATTGGAACGTTGAATAAAACCTGCACCTTAATGGTGCATTTCAGTGTCAGATCTTAGCTATACTTAATGGGTATACTTACATTTAGATTATTTGAGTCGATTAATCCACATAGTTAGCATACGGTTCTCCATAATGGGACATTGTTGAATAGGGAAACTGCCTTCACTGAAGCCATAATTGATTAAAATACATTCAATTGCTTTACAGAATGCACAAATTTTAACGTACCTTTCAAGGAGAGATTTTATCACTAGCTTTCTCATAGGTTCTAATGGTTTTCGGACTGCAATAATACTGCATAGTGGTATTTCAAATAGAACTTCCTTAAATGAACTAATAACCACGAATGGGTAAGAACAGTAACCTTCGGTGAACCTACCTAGGCACGATCGTGCCGAATTCTCCACAGCATCAGTCCAACATATTGTGAGAGAAAATCAAAATCATGGCTAAACTATAGGTAGCAAAACAAATTCGTCGAATCTTATACATGAGTGTAAACTGATTATATATTTATGTATTCTGTATTTCAGTTTGGCGAAATGATACCGAAATGTTAGCACCAAAGGGAAACTAAAGAATATGATTTTAAAAGTAATGACCAGTTAGGTAATTGAGGAAGCACATTATACAAACAAGATTACTAAGCGTTAAGAAAAAATATGCTACTACGGTAACCTAAAAGCTAAGTAGATAATGATTTGACAACTCATTACATTTGGAGATATGTAAGTGAAGAGTAATCAAATCATAAAACCGAGATTGGAGGAAAATCTCCTCAAATGACTAGAGAACCAAATGAATTCCAATGCTCCAATAAATATAAGTGGAAAACTCATCATTATTATTTGAAATCACTGGACGAGCAGTGTCGCAAATGCCTTCAGCTACAATTCTCATTTCATCTTCAGACTATATTATACATATTGTATAGATGAAAGCGACGCAAATAGGATATTAGGCTCAAAGTAGTAAAGTTCTTGAGCCTATCAAACACGTTTCTAGTTTGAATTTTTAAAAACTAGACACTAAGTAATGTGTTTTATTCATTCTTAAGAACAGTTCTAAATAAGGCTTTTCTTCTTAACTATATGATAACTCTTCTAGTTCTTAACTAGTTAATGATAATAAGAATATACACGATTAGGAAAACACTAAATAAAGTGAACATAAAGTTTAAACGTTGCGTGGAACAGATACTGAAACGAATTTTATCCGAATAGCTCACCAAGTAACTGTGCCTAGACCAGAGCCAAAGTCAAACAGTGACCTTGGAATAAAATTAGGACATCGTTTACGAATCTCATACAGGACTCGACAAGCTGACGCAAAGTTGGGAGCCAAACGCGAGACCAAATAAAGTTCACAGGTATGTCCAGAATAGCTTGAGAAATGCAGCAAATAAAGGATGAGAGAATTAAGTTATTGGGTGATTAATTTACTTCCATGTCTTACAATAATTAGATAAAGCACTAAAGAAATCAAATAGTAGATAAGCTGTTTAATGCACACTGAGGAATCTAAGAGATACAAGAGAACAACCCACACTCTAGGATAACATATTATGCAAACCAAATTACAATACACATGGTATAAGGTGTGCTGAATGCGCAAATATGTTGGAAAATAAATCGATACGCACAAAACAGTGTCTATTCAAACAGTTATAGACAGATACTAACAACCTAGAACATAGAATTAATGGAAAATGCTTTGCATCTCCTCGTATCATGAGACGAAAATCAACAGATGCAATCGGATAATATACAACCGTTAGACTAAAACAAAATAAGGCGGGTTAGATGTAGGATATTACAATTAGGATGAAAGCAATGTATGATTGCATTTGTAAAACTGCAATCGATTTTAAGACATACTACCTGAAGTCTCTAACCATTTCCATCAGTTGTATTGTGAATGTCAAACAGATTATTATTATTTCCTTTAATTCCTAGAAGAACATAGGGCTTCAGTCGCGCGTCTCCATTGCGTTCGGTTCTCTGCTAGAGTTTTCACCTGGTGCCAAGTCTGCCCGCATGCTTTCATCTCCCCTTCACATGACCTCCTCCAAGTCACCCTTGAACGACCAACTTGCCGCTTCCCTTTCGGGTTCCACTCGAGGGCTTGTCTGGTGATGTCACACGGTTTCCTCAGAGTATGGCCAGTCCACCTCCAATACGTCCTGCAGATTTGTTGCACAATCGGTTTCTGGTTGGTTCGCTCCCAGAGATCCCTGTTGCTGATCTTTTCTGGCCAGCCATCTGATCTTGAGTATTGAGCGAAGACAACTGTTAATGAAGGTCCGTAGTTTGTTTGAGGTGCTCTTTATGACGCGCCAAGTCTCTGTTCCATCCGTATAGTAGCACTGAATCCACATTGGAGTTGAAAATCTGGATCTTATTTTTGATGCTGAGTGCTGCTGACCTCCGCACAGACTTGAAAGTAATAAAAGCTTGTCTTGCTTTGATATCCTCGTCAGTTCCGCCTGTAGTCGAAATGATGCTTCCCAGGTAGGTAAAGGAGATTGTTTCTTTCAGTTTCCTCCCATTTATGCTGATTGTTGTCAGTTGTTGTTGTTTTTGCTGTTGCTGTTGTCCAGGAATCTGCATCACTTCTGTTTTCTCTACGTTTACTTGGAGTCCTATCTTTGTTTGGGCTTGTTTGATTCTCTCCAGGATGATGCGGCTTAGTATTTTGCCAAACAGAAATACCAACATAATAGACCTTAAGTACAATCAAGATCTTCACAAATGTAGAAGTTGCCAGAAGGCTAGAAACTCTCCAACAACAACAAAATGAGAAAGATTTATTTCCTCTTTACAATGTTAAACCATAACAAAATAATCAGGCTGTTAGCCTCCACCAAACGATTTCACCTTTTCCAATGGATAACAGGTTACTTCACATAGAAAAATTGGTATTTCGTACTGTTGCTGAATCCACTCATTATCGAAAGCCTGTAAGTTTGGTAATGGGGATTTGTGACAATAAATTTTGCTATCCGGTAAGGTTTATCGAATAAATGTCTTCCTAATGAACTTATTTTCTGTTTTCTTCTAACTGGAGATAATTTGTTTTACACAATACAAACTATGAATCGAATGAGATAGACAAACAAGTTTTTTTTAAAGGCAACAACAAAGTGTTCATTGACTTTCATGTATTGGTTTGTAGGGATTTGATTGATCGGTTACAGGACTTCATCAGGAGCTGACATCGGCTAGAGAACCATTGGAAAAACTGGGAGTACTGGACAGCTGTTTCGTCCTAGTTTGGGACTTGAAAATCAATGAGATGCTTACGAGCGACTGGTCTTATTCAGGTAGGTGGTTACCTGGGGTTCTAGTGGGACGTCGTGACCATTAGGATGCACCAGGTCTGGTGTGAGGAGAAATGCTTGTCGAAGACATTGGCTAGCGGTCGCGCTATGTCGTGAATTGGCAGAAGTTGGAATTCTTGAGCCAGTGGATCGGGTCCCGGTGGCTCAATGGTCTACGAGCTCGCCTTGTAACCAGAAGGTCCTGGGGTTCGAATCCCGGTGGGTGCGTACGGATGAAGGGTTCCAGACTAGGACAAAACAGCTGTCCAGTACTCCCAGGTTCTACAGTCGTTCTCTAACCGATGTCAGCTCATGATGAAATCCTGCAACCAAAGTGTTCATTGATAATCCAATAGAAATCTTTGAAGCACTTCTTTTACCCCTTAAAGTCAACGAAACATTCAGCTCATGTAGACTTTAATGTAATTAATGGAACTAAATAAACTAACATAAAACTTTATCGGCATAACTATTTATTGATTCCTGTGCCAACTTGTTTGGCTGATAACGTGAAATGCTATATGAGTATTCATGAAAACGTTTGGCAGGTACACTTCCAAACAATCAAGTTATACTGACTAATATAGATGATAGGTGCTTCCGATAAACAATACGTAATAATATTAGAATACTAAAAGTAGATACACAACTCATCTCATATAAAGACTGGAATGTACCTTAGAGATTTCCAGGATTTCAAATTTAGCTCCCTGGTAATTCGAGCCTCACGTTGATCAGCAAAGTTCTCTAGAGCGAAAGTCAGACCGTCATCCTCATCTTCTTCATCCACGTCTTTCGATTTTTTTATGTTGCATGATTTCTGTATAATCGTTTCCTAAAGCAGAAATTCAAGAATACAATGCAATTTCATAAAAACTTATTTCTAATAACATTCAAGAAAAATACACCGAAGTGTGACAAAACGAAGAAAGTAACCAATACTATCTACCTACCTCTGACAAAAGAGGCCGTGACCAAAGATAATCCGTAAGAATTTTGGAACGATCTTCAATTGCCTTTGGGGGAGAAACGGAATGCTCTCGGAGGTATTCGATAGCCATTGCATCGAGTTGAGCTGGTAAAGACATAGGAGGCAGCTGTAGGTAACAGGGGTGTTTCTTTAAATTTGAAGCCCATGTTTTTGAACACTCAGTAGGGTTTTTATCAAGTTTACGGGAGTCTTTCTGTACTGCTGTTTTAAATATAGCCTTCAGATCATCTAAAGGTCGATATCGCAAACCTCCATTTACTAAGCGTCCAGTAAAGTCGGCTACAGACTTTGTCCAGGAGGCCTGAATAATCATAATTCAACATTTGGATATTAAAAACATTCCATAGTAACAATCGCGTTTTTAAGATGATGGCAAGGTAAATAAATTAATAATCGTATACAGAGGAAAAGAAACATTACTACTTAATGGTTGCACATAATCTAGTTGTTTATAGTTACATTTATTAGCACATTTCACCATCGTGACCTTGATAAATCGATGTTGCGGACCTCACGTAACTCTGAAACCACCAACTCGAACCTCCGAAAGTCTTCTAGATGTGATTTTGGTGTCCATTAGGATGCACGAACACAACTTTTGGTGACCTTTCATCCAGCGTGGCATCCAAAAAGAACAGTAAATGACAGCCATATGATTTATGCCCACATATGAGTTGAGGTTGGTATTTACCAAGTGAGACAGTGCTCACTAAATCCATCAAAACCTATTATTCAATATCATTATTAGATATGATGAAATAACTAGCTCCTTTCGCCGACTTGAAGACCAGTAAAACGGAGAACAAGTTAATAATTACTTAAAACATGGGAATTGTAACATAGTGATGTTCCACAATCACAAACAGTGAAGACTTTTGAGATATTTATTTAAGTTTATGAAAGTATCACAACACTTCTGATACCTTAATTCAAATGAGAACTACATATAGTTTCCTCCCGTTAAAAAGATTGACTTTTAAGATACCTGAAAATAATCGAAATGATTACACATCAAAATACATTAACACAATTTGATTTTATACACAAATTTTAGAAAGTAGATTGACATAAGACACTACTCAGTACCAAATGGATATCGTTCGGTAGATATAAAATCATCAAAATCCTCGTTACATATCGAATTCTGTCAACTTTTATTCACTTGTTCGAAAGTGAGACAGGTTTGAATGTGTTCTTAAAGTGCCACTATAAGCCTGGATAAGCATTTTCCCTAACTATGACGCAGCGGCGAATTTACACTGTAACATTTTTAGATAGACAAAAATTATCGAGAGGCTGACTTCATTCCTACAAATAAGGCAGTACATGGCAATCAGACAAAAACAATAGAGAATCTTAGGAGGTATGCTGTTTGAATATACATTTGGCATAAGTATTCGAAAACTCAACTAATTACAGTGCAAAAATTTACATGGACAGTGAGACAGAAAGCAAATAGGGGGGGGGGACTTAACGCAAAGATTAGAAGTTCAAGGTGTCATTTTACACTCAGTGATAAGGTCATCTATGAGAAATACACTACCCCGCGCCCATATCTTGCACCCTTAATTAGCAACCTTATTTAATAGTTGTATTAGGCTTGATTAAGAACACCTTCCTCAAAGGATGAACTTAAACAGCTCTTATCAGTGTCTCAAGAATATACACCACAGCTATCAATTTGGTATGGGTAGACTATTAGATAAGGCTGATTGACTTCCCATGACCAACCTGCAGTAAATAAAAAATGAAACATGTAGTCATACATAGTGCTGATAAATTCGTCAACTGCAATGACCTGTTGTGATGTCAAACTGTAAGCCCTCAAATAGAATTTTCAGTGTGGCACGAGTGTGTTCAATTCACTATTCAGACTGTGACACTCGAAACGATACAAATGACTGGTCAAAAGGATATGTAGAGTGACTTTACTTTGAACCTTTGGACTTGAGAAAAATGGTTGGAATATACATACACCATATATACATACATATCAACAAAATTGTGGGGAATTACATAATACCACAGTCCACCAATGAGCAATGTGTGTGAAGATGGTCATATGAAGTTCATCGACAAATACCAGAAATTTAGTAGGAAATAAAGTGTCACACTGCAACAGAGACCAAAACAAGCACAGCTGTTTGTAAGACCAAGTAGAGACTGGATATTACTCTGAGGAAAAGAATACGGCTGTCAGACCCATTCGTTGGAATCAGATCCGTTTGCTGTCACAATAAAAAGTGACCAGATTCTCATCTGATGTTACCCTCAACTACTTACTTATTTGAAGACAAATGAAGCATTCACATTAGAACACATAGAAGAGTTCAAACTCACATCTAAACACTCCTCGAAGGCTGATGGAGGCGTAAGCATGCATATCGTATGTTTAATACAGAGTAAAATGTAGGTAATTTTACGCTACTGAACAAATTGCTGGGCCCAAAAGATTTTAGTTGATTGACGTCTGCTGAAGCTACTGACATCACAATAAGAATTATATATTTGAAGAGATAGTCGTCAACTTCGATTCCGTATTTACAAGTTAGTGAGGATTGAACGTCACTTCGATACCTTATTTCCCTTTTTATAACCATCATTCTTATTTTGTTCGCCCGAATCCTTCATTTCCGATATAAGCAACAAGCATTAGCTTCCACTTACATGTATCACCTTATTCTTTTTTGAAGAAAATCTACATAATCATTTTAAAGACGGCTAGTTTGTTTATTGTTTTTAGAACTTCTATCAACCAGTTTTTTGCATAGCTCTACATCAACTATACTACATCCCTGACTAATGGTCTGTGATATAAACACCTAATAATCCATTATATCGATGGAGCTATCGCTTGCCAGTCTGGGTAACCAGACTGTATCAATGGCCGTCACATAGTTAGTATGACTCATATCCAAATGCAGGAAAAGTGTAAATAGTTTATGAGTAACTTGTCCATTTCCGTCCATGAATTGCGAACAATGCGACTTTGGGAGACAAGAGGTCAGGCGATGACTAAGGTGGCCAGGTTTTATACTCTATACTCTCTCATAGCGACTAACATACTTAGGCTGAGTCACTTTGCACAGAAGTGCAGAAGTTTAAGTCAGCATACTCCATATAGTACACAAAGGTTGAGAACAAAGAGATAAAAAACGAATTCAAAAGGACAATAATGATCACAAATATACGGGAAAGTGAATAGTAACATGAGAGAATATTAAGATTTTAAGCGTCTAGGGGATTACAGAGAAGGATCGCATCTGCGCTATATACAAGGGTTTCCGACAATATCACCCAGTAATTGGTTTTTAGAGCCCTTAAGGACCCCAGAATTTCACTTTAAGTTATTTATGCACTAAGTCAGTTTCAGCTTAAACAGCAATTCATTGTTGGTTCAATCTTAACCGTTACTGAACTGAAGACTAATTTAGCAGGAATGACATATGTCATTTTTAAAACCACATTGTGTACGATGTGTAAGATAACCACCGGTTTCATGAGGTAATCAATTTTCCCATTAGAATTTAAGAGTACAGCACTAAAAATTTCAAGAACTTTGTAAAAGATAACAGTAACCGTCACACGTGAGTTTGTGATTTCCAAAGTGCAGTAACTCTCCCTTTTAAATCCGCGGACAACGTTATTACATATCTCAATGACCAATTGTAGACTTCAGATTCAGATCCGTTGATTTATGAAAGAAGGCTCAAAGCCCATGTGAACTTGTTTACATAAAGTTTCTTTGTTTGTCTAAGCTCTGTACCCACTAATATCATTTCTTTTGGCTGTATCAAAAGAAGTGATAACTCCCCCAAAAGCTTTGTATTTATTTATTTTATTTATTTTTTATCTTTGATTACAGCTTGATTCCACATCGTATTTTCAGTACAAGTATGGCATTTTCAGCATGGATATCGGTAGCCCAAATTTTACAGGCCGACCATAGATATCGGGTGTGCGTCGGCGGGGAATCGAACCCCGAACCATGTGCACGGTCGGCGAGAGTCCTAACCACTGTACCACCATAGACGCAGGCCTAGATAATCCTTGCAATACACAGGCAGATTTGCTATCACCTAGCTCTACTCAACTGGATGCTTTTAGGTAGGGTACACATGTGCCAGTACAGAAAGTAGGTTGTAGCACCACCGCTACCATTAACTATAAAGCCCACTATCGTAAAAATTTCCATCGGCCGTCAACGACATGTGGACATCAAACTAATGCCAAATTTGAAAGAGCAAATAGCTCATTATCTACACAAAACACATTCACTCAAGCCAATAACCTAAAAGTACAAACATCATTCCATTAGTCCAGGATCTCTTACTCTTAGGTATTTGATGAAGCCAGCTGATTACCCTGACTATGATACATTGCAGTCTTGTGAGAGAATTATTGATCATATTTCCCTGGAAGTGACAAAGCGTGTTCAATGCATGTATAGGGCAATCGTTTTCAATGTGCCCGACAGTTCCAACATTAAAAGCTCACTTTTAAAGGCATGTGAAATACCAGTTTCCTATTGTACCTTCAAACTATAGCGCAAATCCACATCTAATACATCCTGTCCAATAATGTTCGAATTTAATAGCAGTGTGGATACAAGCTGCTTTGTAAACGACTAGCACCTTTTCAGAATAGAATATATGTATCATTCATGACAGGATACCAGTCCAACGTCGTGCCAGGCAAATTGTCTTAGTGGGTGAAATCAGTCAGCAAAAAGATATTGCCAGTCCCTTTGAAGTCAATACCAAAACCCTCTTAACCTTAAAAGAAGCCCTTCGCCTAGTTACCCTAAAATGAATCTTGAGACTCTTACCAATACGAAACGCAGTATTTCTGCAGTTGTCAAACAACCTGAAAGCATTCACCTGCTGCAAAAGTCACCAATAAAAACCACACCCGCTATGTTAAAATTATCAAAAACCCTTGCAATACTACTACCGAGAATATATTACTTTAATAAAAGGTGCCGTTGGTTAACAAAAATTATTTGCTTTTCCAAACAGAAATAATTCATCTTTTACAGGCATGAACTTGTATACGCTAATTAGATAGGATATATATGAATTCTTAGAAAAAAATCAATCTTTCACGACAGCTTAAAAGACGAATATATTGAAAACAGCACAAATAACTAGATAAGCGATTTGTGAAACATGCTTTCAATAAAATAGGTTATAAGATGATTGTTTAGACCAAAGTTTTGAGCTAAGATACTCCTAATACATATAGTTTCCTCGCAGAAACTATAGACGTCTGAGTTATCAGAAGGTGAGACGTGGTTTGGTGTGCCGATGCTGAAGCTAAACTTAACATAAAGGCTGCGAAATGTGCAATCACTATCGATCTGTGGGGTACAGAATTCTCGAAACATTCATAAAATTATTTGGTCATTGGTAAGCACAGCGTTATCATGACGTTGGTAGTTACTTGGGAGCAGCTTTGATATTGTCGGCAAACTTGACGGAGGTTATGCAGATCGTCATCAGATGTGACAGCGATATTCTGAATATTTGCAACTTTTAGGTTCTGGTGATTCAATTTGAGTAACAGTAACGTAAGGGATAGCATGTTTTTGTCGGAATGTCGTGACTCAAGATAGTCCTAGCGGAATAGAGGAGAGAATAAAACAGCGAACAGCATCAGGAGTTTTCCGACTGGTAATGACGATTTCCAACGTTGCCGCATTGAGAGACCGGCGAACTGCACTTTTTCCGCCCTACTCCATCGTTTTCCTAGGATACTTAAACCGTTGCACAACATCGAGGATGCACCACGTACAGTCACTCACAAAATTGTTACCACTGGTCAATCTGTTCGAGCTTGTCCCAGTAGACAACCACCTGACAAACTGGCAGTAGCTATGACAGAATTTGAACACATGATGCAGCCTGTATCATCAGACCTTCCAGTAGCCCTTGGTCTTCACCCTCACACACGGTGCCTGTAGCTGAGCATGATTGGAGACCTTGTGGAGATTATCGGCATTGAAACAACGCCAAAGTTCCGACCCGTTATCCGATCCCCCACCTACATGTTTTCTCCCTGACATTACATGGTAAAACCATTTTATCCAAGGTGGATTCGGTCAGGGCCT